AGGGGGGCAGAGCAAAGGCTGGGAAAAGAGGGGTTAGGGTTCAGGCTGGGGGCTGCGTGTCCCGCAGAGGTGCTTGGGAGACTGGCCAGGGCCAGTGGTGGTTGGAGGGGGGCAGTTTCCAGCACAGAGCAGAAGCGCTCACCACCTTTGCCAGGCGCGCGCGCACACACACACACACACACACACACACACATGTAGAGGAAGAAGGAGTGCTGGTGGTGCGTAGGCCCTCCCCCTTTCTGACACACACACACACACACACACACACACACACACATCCTGATGTGAGTGAAAAATCTCTACTCTTGTCTTTCAGCTCCAGCTCCTTCCTGGAGCCCTGATTTTTCTGCAGGATGCATGCATGTGTGCGCGCAGTTTGTGTATTTGTACACATTCAGCATCCCTGCCAGCCCACCCCTCAGACGTGGGTCAGGCTGTACAGAGATCTAAAGGAGTGGCCTCAAACCCCCCCCTCCGGGCTGCCCACCCCTCCACGGCCCCCAACAGGGACCCCCCTCGGCTCCTTCCGACGGGTGGGGTGGCTGTTCTGTCCAGCAAGGTGCAGAGAAAGGGCCTGGCTCTCTCCCTCCGGCTGCCGCTGTGGTCCTCCTAACCACCACCGCCGCCTTGCGGGAAAATTGCCCCCTGCCTCCAGTCCACCCTGTGGGCTTCGTGGCCCAGTAGGGACGAGGAGGCGGCTCCCCCAGTCCTCGCCCACTCCTCTGACCCCCACCTCATGGCAGCTCTTGGGCTTCGAAACCGTTTGGGCTGCTTAAGGCCAGGTCCGGAGCGGTCAGGGCACGAGATGTCCACCCTCCCGTCCATGCCCACTGCCCAGTTGGTCTGTTATTTTTAGCGGCGAAAACACCGCCAAGGACCCGTGGCTCTCTCTTGCGTGGGGGACGGATCGGTCTCTAACTGTGTTTTCTTCCCTTCTTCCTTTCCACTTCCTCCGTGCCACGGAAAGGAGGAGGACGTCCGGATCGAGGCCTTTGAGGACGACTCCGAGGCTGAAGGGAGCGGCACAGAGCTGGACATCAAGGAACTGAGGGCCCGGAAGCAGGCACTGACCCGGAAGGTGGCCGAGCAGCAGCGCCGACAGGACAAGATCCAGGTGGGCTCCTCGGGAGGGGGAGAGGGCTTGCGGGGGCAGAGGCAGGAGGAAGCTCAGCAGGGTGGTTGGGGGGGGCTGTGGGCGCTGTCCTTGAAGGGGGAGAGCGAGGGGGGGAGTGCCGGCCGGTGAGCGGAGGCTCCGCTCAAATCCCATCCGCCCCACCTTTGTGGCAAGAGAAGGAGTCACGCCTCTGTCCAGTGGTGTGGGCAGCTTGCCTTCCAAGCAAGAAGACACGGGGCCCACCAGGCACTCTGTCCTGGACCTTTCAGGGGGGCCCCCTCTTCATCTTCATCTTCTTCCTCTTTAAATCCACATCCCACCAACCTTTCCTGGTCTCTACACCATCCCCATCCCACAACCTTTCCTGGTCTCTACACCATCTTCCAGGTGCAGATCATTAACAACTTCTCCTCCTCTTCTTCTTCCTCGCTGCCCCATGCTGCCCCCCTCCCCAAATGCCCAGGGCCCTCCACACTTCAATAACTCTTCATTTCCCAGCCTTGAACGTGAGCCAAACACATCTGTCTCGCCAGATGCGTGAACTCTGGAGTCTGTGCCGAGGTGGTTGTAAAACAGGGCTGCGGAAAGCCCTACTGGGAGAGAGAGCGAGAGAGAGCGAGAGAGCGAGAGCGGACACATGCAGGCCCGCCGGCGATTGGCGGCCGGCCCAGAACCGCCGCTCTCCTCCCGGCTCACCATTTGCTTGCCTGCCTGCCTGCCTGCCTGCCTGCCTGTTGCAGAGGGCCACTCTGTCCGCCAAACGGCGGGCCAGCCAGGAGGAGGAAGGAGCCTGCAAGGGAAGGGCGAGAGCGAGAGCGAGAGCGAGGGAAGACAAAAGCCCCCTTTGGCTGGGGCCCGGCTGCCAAAGCCCGGCCGGCATCCCAGGGGTCCGGGCCCAGGGCCTGCCAGCCTCGGCAGAGACAGCCGACTGTCCAGCTTGCCCTCCAGGAAGCCCCTGCCCAGTTCCTGAGGCCGCTCCCAGGAGCTGTGGGCTTGAAGCTGGCCAACCCCTGTCGTGCAGCCCCGAATCGCCCTCTGGGGAGGAGGCAACAAAGGCCCTGATCCCCAGGGTCCCCCATAGGAGGAGCGGGAAGGGGCAGCCTTTCCTCCCTGGGAACCCCAGCAGAAACTCTGCCAGGCTGGCAGGGCCAGGCCCAGGCCCAGGCGCTCTCTTGTCCCCTTCGGCCTGGAAGCGCCCGGATCTCCTGCCTCGCTCCCAGCCGCCCCTGCTTCCCTCCGCCCTCCGCCCTCCGTCCTGCCGGTCCTCGCCTTAGACCAGCTGAGCGTCCCGAGAGCAAGGCTTGGCTTAGAGACCCCCTTCCTTTGATTTGTGAGGCGCTTCTGGTCTCTGCTCAGATCGAGGGCGATGGTGGGGGGGGAGGCTAGCCTCTGAGGAAACCCCTTCCCCGCATCTACGGGGAGAGCAGGGAACCTTGAGGGCAGACAAAAGGGCCTGTCAGGGAGGGAGGGAAGGAAAGAGTGGCCCGCCTTCGGAGGCCAGTCCAAGAGAGCCCCTTCCTAAGAGTGCCATTCCTTTTTTTAAAAAAAAATAGGTTTTGTTGCGAGGGATTTTGGGTGTCGTAGTCCACGGTGGCCAGGCGCAGGGGCTAAGGGATTCTGGGAGCTTTCCCTGGCTTGGCTTCCTATGCCCTGGAGACAGAATCGTGTCCGCGGAGGGCCCTTACGCGCTCAGCCGGAGAAGCTCTGGCTGTCTCCCCTCCTCCGGCTGCGCGCACGGTGGCCTTTCTGTGCCAGGAGGGGGAGCCTTTCCTCTGCCGCCGACGAGGGCCCCACCTGAAGCACCAGGCGCTTCCTCTGGGGGGGGGCCTTCCTCCTCTCCCGCCCCTGCCGCAGGCTGGCCCTGGGGGCAGAGCCGGGGTCTATATTTAGACACCCCCACACACACACCACGTTTGTCTCTCCCACGGACGTGCATGTGAGCAGCCTGCTCACCTCCTCCACACCGGGAGACAATGGGGCGGCACGTGTGTTCGGACAGCCACCTGCCGGGGACGGAAGGGCCAGCCCCGGCCTGCCGGCTCCGCCGTGGCAGCGAGGGAGCCCAGCGGGGATGTCCAGAGTCCGAGGCAGGCCGTGGGGACGTTTGGTTGCTCCCTGGGCCTCCCCTCGCTCTCCCTTCTCTCTCCGCCTGCTTGGAAAAAGGCAGCACAGCTCTGCACATGCTCAGAGGCTGCCTTTGTGCTCTTGATTTTTGCGGACCTCTGTCTCCAGGCTCCTTCCCTCCCTTGGTCTCCCTCTCTCTCTCTCTCTCTCTCTCTTCCTCTTGGGCTGGCCGGATGTCGGCACTCCCTTCACTGATGCTGCTGGCGTGCGTGCGTGCGTGCGTGCGCGTACCCGCTTGGGTGGCAGCTGCCAAACACAAACAAACCTCCCCCGTGGCCTCTGAACCCTGGTGGGGCGAGTTCCCCTCCGGCTCCTTGAAGAGCCTCTGCAGGGGAGGGGGGGGGACTTGGCACGGTCCCCGAGAGGCACATCCTGTCGCCCTCTCTCTCTGGCCAGGCAGGGGGGCGGCAGGATGGGACGTGACGGCCGGCACAGGCCTCCCTCGCCGCTGCCAGGAGGGCCAGAGGGCCGGCCAAGGCTCCTGGGCAGACCGGGTCACGGGCGCTAAAAAAAGGACTTCTCCGCACAGGAAGCGGGGTGTGTTTCCAAGACGGCCTTCTTGCTCCTCTGCTCTCTGTCCCACGGGAGCCGTGGACCGGCAGCCCTCTAGGGCTGTCTCTGGACATCGGCTCCCATCATCCCCAGCCACAGGGATTGCCAGCTGGGGTTCCTGGAAGCCGGAGCCCCAAGAATCGGTAGAAGGCCCCTTGTTTCCCCCGCTCAGGAAGGGCAACTGGGGAGGGTGTGTGTGTGAAGCTGCCTGGGCAAGTGGCTTGACGGACCACCATTCCCAGTATCCCCCCCCCAGTCAGTGGCCGTGCCGGCTGGGGAATACTGGGAGTTGGGAGTCTCAGAAGCCAGAACCCCAAACCTCGTGTGGGGATTGGGGGACACACACACACACACATAAAAGCTCTGGGCTTGGCTGAGGAGGGAGACTCCCGGAGGCCTGATCCGTGTGGGGACCCTTAGACTCCTCGTGTGGGAGAGAAGGAGGGTGGGAAGGCGAGCCGGCCCCGTCTGAGGTGTGCCTGCTCTCTTCCCCCCCCCGCATGCACGCTTGACCCTCTCTTGGCCTCTCTGGGGGGGCTTTTCCAGGCGGTGCTGAAAGACCAGGCCCGGGTGCGGCAGATGGAGCTGGAGATCCGGCCCGTCTTCCTGGTCCCGGACACCAACGGCTTCATCGACCACCTGGCCGGCCTGGCCAAACTGCTGGACTGCCGTCAGTTCATCCTGGTGGTGCCCCTGATCGGTGAGTGGCCGGGGGTGGGGGAAGGGGGGGCAGTGGGTCCAGGGGGGCTCCGCTACGGTCCCTTCTTGCAGCCCAAACCACCTCTGGGGCGGCCAGGTTTGGCGGGACGGAAGCAGCCCGGCCGACTTTTCCAAAGCAGCCCCTGCCACCACAACGTCCCTCGGCCCCTTAAAACTTGGGCAGCCGTTGCTTTTCTCGGCTAGCCCGTCGCACCGTTTCTGGCCGCGGGGGGCTTTTCTCTACCCTTCTGGGACCCTTCTCCACCTGGCAAAACCTGGTAGCCAGCACAGCATCTCGAGTGGCCACGAGAGGTGGGTCCTGACGGGCAGAGCCCCCGCAGCGCAGCGCCCCCCTCTGGCCCCCTCCCACCTTCTCGGCCCAGGACCCGTTTGGGCCGTCAGGACCCAAGGGCCGCTGGGTGGGAGGAGGAGGAGGAGGAGGAGGAGGAGGCCAGCTTTTGAACCTTGTGCCTGAGAGGAAGCCGGCGGGCCGGGAGGGGGTGGGCCTGGTTTCGTGCCCTGCTAGCGGCCAGGCTGCCCTGGTGGGAGCGGAGAGCGATGGGCTCGAAGGGCCTGGGGTTGGATCCAGGCCATCAGGGGTGGTGAGCCTCGGGCCCTGCCGCCGCACCCTGCCTTCAGGGGATGGAATAGAGGACCTCTGAGACCCCCCCTCTCTCTTTTTCTTAGAGTGGAGCCTCCACCCCCAGGGAGCCTCGCCCTCCCTGCCCCCTCCCTGGGGGGGGCGACCCCCTTCCCCTCTGGCTCCCTCCATCTCTTTGCCCCAGAGGACCGTTGTTCCTCTTATCTATTGGCGGGGCTGGGGGGGGAGTGGGTGTGGAGGGGGGGCTCTGGAAGGCCAGGCATCCCATCCCTCCAGCCCCAGCGTCCGGCTCAGAGGCTGGCTCTCCTTTTTCTCTCCTTATAAAGCGGCAGCCGGGCCGGCCGGCGGGCGAGTCAGCAAAGCTGGTTCCTGTTATTGGTAAACAGGCGGACCTGGCAGATAGCGAGCGAGCGGGCGGGCGAGGGGGGGGGCGGCCCCGGGGGGGGCGGCAGGCGGCAGCTCCTGCTGCTGCTCCTCCTCCTCCTGCTGCTGCTGCTGCAGCTGCTGGGTGGTCTGGGGTGGGGGTTGGATTCTGGGCACACTCCCCATCCCTCCCTCCCTCCCTCAGAAAGGAACAGGGCTCTGGACACTCCTCAGGATCAGGAAGGGGGCAGGAAGTCCAAGGAGGGAGGGAGGCTCCTGCCTCTCAGCAGCAACCCCCCCCCGTTGTACATACACACACACACATACACGCACGCAGAGAGAGAGAGAGAGAGTTTGCTTATAGGGCCAGGATCCAATCTGGCTGCCTTTGTCTTTCGGAGCACTTGCAAGGTGGCAGGCAGGGGGGCAAAGGCCAAAGATGGGGCCTCACGCTGGCCTGGTGCTCCTCGGGCGTTCTGGGATCAGGGCCCCAGAGAGAGGGACACTCCATCAGGGAAAGGGATACTAGGAGCCGGGCAGCCTCATCCATCTGGTTGCGGCTGGAGTGCCCGTCGGGGACCCAATAGGGCCCCATCCTGGCTCCTGTGCTCGGCTTCGAGGGCAGCCCTCAAATCGGCCAGAGAAGGAACCCAAGGAAGGCTGGCTAGCTGGCCGTTCTCCCCCTACCTTGGGGGGGGGCAAGCTTTGGGAGCCCCCCGTGGGTCCGTCCAGGGTGAGAGCGGGGCCGGTTGGTTCCTCCCCGGGTGGCTTCGTTCTCCTCCCGCCCCTTCCCTGGTCCCTGAACTCGACCTGGGAGAAGCTCCACTTGGGCAGGAGCACAAACATCTTCCCTTTTGAAGGCTGTTTGGCTTGGAAGCCGCCGTCAGATGGATTTCGGGATGGAGTACCAGCCTCCCTCCGCCCGTTTGAGGTCCCCATGCAGACGCTCTCTCTCTCTCTCACACACACACACACACACACACACACACACACGCACACACCCCTGCCTCCGAGGACTGCATACTTCCCCCTTGATCTCAGCTCTTGGCGGGGAAGGCAGAAACGGAGCAGCCAGATTAACCATCTCGGGGCGACGGGGCTCTGGGGGCGCGGGAGGAGGCCTGAGCAGAGACACGCTGAAGCTTGGCCAAGAGGGGCTTGCGCTCAGCCGCTGCCTCCCGGAGAAGCTGCAGAGATGGGGAGAGTCCTCGTGGGTGTGGGGCGCAGGAACCTTCCCGCACCCACCCCTGGGGGGGGCGCCCAGGTCCTCCTCCTCCTCCTCCTCCTCCTCTGCGCTTTCTGGGTCTCCCGCCTGCGGCCTCTACACCTGGGGTCCCAGGATGGGGGGGCTTGGGGGGGGAGGGAGGTGCGTTGGCCTGGCTTCAGCTTCTCACCTCCTCTTTCTGGCCTTTCCCGTCTTTCCCCCCCCCTCCCACCACCACCTTGCTCTCCTCCCGCCAGTGATCAACGAGCTGGACGGCCTGGCCAGAGGCCCCGATTCAGAGCACCGGGTCGGGGGCTACGCACGCCTCTTGCAGGAGCGGGCCCGCAAAGCCGTGGAGTTCCTGGAGTCCCGCTTTGAGCGCCGGGACAGCTACCTGCGGGCCCTGACCAGCCGGGGCAACGAGCTGGAGTCCATCTCCTTCCGCAGGGAGGACCTTTCCAGGCAGCAGGTAACACAAACACACACACACACACACACAGAGGGGGGGCTCAGGGGGGAGGAGAGGGATAATTGGCTTTGGCTCTCGGGGTGGGAGGGAGAAGGGCCACTCAGACCTCGCAGGTGGCCTTCGTGTGTCCCAACGTTTGTTCCTGAGAAGGCCGAAGATCAAGGTGCAGGAAAGGGGCTTTCAGGGGACGGATTGGGCCCCTCCCGGGTCATCGTTCCAGTAGGGGGCACGCACACACTTCTTTGTTGTGGGGAGACTCCCGTTGATGAACACACTGAGAAGAGGGAGAGGCGTGTCAGAGGTGGTCCTTCATCCGAGCTGAGTGGGGCATCCACAGGCAGGAACAGTCTACCTCTGGGTACCCAGTTTCTGAAATCAAGCAGCCGGGGAAAGGAGTGTGGAACGGGAGGAGGCTTGGCTTCCCTTCCCTGTTTGTGGGGCTTCCCCGGGAACTGTCTCTCCTCACTGCCGCTGCACCCACACACACACACACCGGAAGACCTTTGAGCTCTCTCCTCAGCCCCCCCCCTTCTCCCCTTCTGCTTAGCCTGGTGGTTTAGCGGGCCGGTTTTATTCTTTGGGTCCGGGCGCTCCTGACCCGGAAGCTGTTTGCCTTCTTCGGAGAAGCAGAAGGGCAAGCGTGAGAGGCCCTCTTCCTTCCAGCCAGGAGTGGGACGGCCGGCGCTTTGGCGCTGTGACCTTCCAACACTCCCTTCCAAGCAGAGATAATTCCACCCTCTCAGGTTTTCCTCCTCGGCTGCCCCTTGATATCTGACGTGGCCGTTCCCAGAGGGGGCACCCAGAGGGCAGCCAGCAAGAAGACTCGGACAGAAATAACCCATGGAAAATAACCTTACCCAGAGACAAAAACAAACCCTCAATGGCTGTGGTTGTGTTAAAAATGCAGTTAAACTAAAGATATGAAATTAAAACCTTTTGGGCGACTGGTGATCAAGTGGGAGCCCAATCCAGCAGAGCCAGGGGTGTGATTCTGAGCGTTGTTTATTCTGGTCAGGTAAGGTCACGAAGGGGAGGCCCTCTCTTCCTCTCTCTCTCTCAGCGTGGCCCTTGTGGAACGGGTGTCGTGGCGCATTTGGGGTTCCCCCCACCCATGACCCCATCGGCCGTTCTCTTTCCCGCAGGGGAACAACGACGACCTGATTCTCTCTTGCTGCCTCCATTACTGCAACGACAAGGCCAAGGACTTCATGCCAGCCAACAAAGGTAGGCCGGGGGGGGAGCTCTCGTGACAACACCCCTCCTGAGCGGGCCTTCTCTTTGGGATTTTTGGGGGGTAGTGAAGGTTTTTTCTAAGGTGGTGAGAGGCAACTGCCCTGTCCACTCGTCCGCTTCGGTTTCCTTGGAGGAAAATCCTCCCTTGTTCGCTCAGGTTTCGCTCCCTGCGGAGAGACACCGTCTCCTTCCTCCTCCTCCTCCTCCTCCTCGCCTCCCACAAAAGGGCACTGGGGTTTTTCTCTCCCTTTCTTGTTTTATGCAGGGGGTGGATCACAGGTGGAGAGAGGGGAGCTTCCTCCCCTCTCAGGCCATACCAGAACCAGGGGAACTCCCCTCCAATGGAGGGTTGGGAGACCGAGAGGAGACCCAAGAAAATCTTTCTTGACCCAGCGGGTTGTTAGTCTGTGGAACTCCTTGCCACAGGATGTGGGGGTGACCTCTGGAATTAAGAGAGGGGGATAGGGCAGATTTCTGGAGGAAAAGTCCATCGCAGGTGACCATCCCTGATGGGGATGTCGTACCATCTCCAGGCTTCAAAGGAAAGGACCTCCAGAGGCAGGGGAAGAGAGGGATCAGGTGGGCTCCCGGAGGCACTGTGAGAGACAGGGCACTCGACCCGAGGGGCCCTTGGCCCGATCCTGCCCAAGGCTCTTTGGACGTTCTCCTAAGCGGGAAGAGAATAAATCTCGCCCTCCTCCTCTGATAACTGGGAGGGCTTGAGTGCTGGAGCGGAAGGCCATCCTTGCATATCTTCGGCATGATTCAGAGGAGGAGATGGAGGGCCTGGGTGGGGCGGAGGGGCTCCTGAGCAGACACGGCGTTCTGGCGAGGGCCTGTGGGGCGGGAGGGCTGGGTTGGCGCTCTCGTCGTCCCCAGCAGTGGCCCCGGCTGGCTGGAGCTGAAGGGTCTTCCAGTCAGCGTTTCGAGGAGCAGGGACCACAGGGTGCGTGAAATCGCCTTGACTAAAACCCCAACCAGACCCTGTGGTCCCTGCTTTGGGGGGGGAGGGAGCATGCCACCCCAGTTTATTTCCCACCCACCGCCCACTGCCACACACACCCCACTAACTGCCTCCTGTCTTTTGCTGGCACCCTTGCCGTAAGACCATGAGCCTGGGTGGAGGGGGATTCTGGGCGTCGTAGTCCCCCGAGTGACTGTTTCCAGGCCGTGGAGGGCAGCCACTGGTCTGAGCTTCCCCCCCCCAATGCCTCCCCCAGTTTCCACCCGTCGGGCCAGATTCTCAGCAGCTTAACTTGTCAGCTTGACGGAGAAGCCGTTTCTGAGTGTTTACGCCTCGCTGGGACGAGATCGGGCGATCAGGGGATTACACTGGATGGGGCCTGACATCCTGACAGCCTCTGGTTTCTAACAATCCACCTCAGCACCCGGCCTGAGCAGGGGATGGTTATTGTTAAGCCCCCCCCCCGCGGAAGGGAGGGGGGCCTGGGTGGGCCGGAGGAACGGGGGGGGTGTCGCGTCGCGTGGGGTTGGCCAGCCTGCTGGACCGGAGGAGGAGGAGGAGGAGGAGGAGGAGGGCCCCCTCCTTTCTGACGCCTGGCTCTCTTCCCAGACGACCCGATCCGCCTGCTCCGGGAGGTGGTGCTGCTGACGGACGACCGGAACCTCCGGGTGAAGGCCCTGACGCGCAACGTCCCCGTGAGGGACATCCCCACCTTCCTGAAGTGGGCGCAAGAGGGCTGAGGAGGCGCCACCCAACGCCACCACCGCCGCTGCTGCTGCCACCACCTGGAGAAGCTGCGCAGCCGCCATTTGGCTCCTGGAAGGGTCAGCGCCCCGGGGCCCGCGCGGGCTAGGGGCCCAGCCGCCACCCCCCCTCCTCTGGCGCGGCCGTTCCGGGACCCGCCCGTGAACAATAAAACCCAGCCACGCCTTTAAACCCGCCCACCCCTGCAGTGGCCGTGCTGTGGGTGCGAGGGGCGGTGGGAAGGTGGTTTGGAGGGGCAACCCCGACGCGATGGGGGGGCTTGCCTCCGTTGAGGGAGCAGTGGTTGTGAGGGGCAGGAAGGGGGCCTGGGGGACGGGGAAACGGGGGCTCCTTTTAGCCTACTGCGAGGGCACCTCTCCTTTGCTGTCAGCCCCTCTCCGAATCTCGCCAGCCCTCAGGATGGAAGCCAGGCACCCCATGTTTGACCTCTGTGCATCTCAGCTCCTACCCCCGAGACCCCTTCTCTCCCCCCCTCCCAGTCTCCCAGTCTGCAGCCACCACACCAGCTGGGTCTCCCACTGGTTTCCTCCTGCCCATCCTTTCCCCTACACCCCATTCTTGGTTCCTGTCCCCCCCTTTTCCCACCCCACTTTCTGATTTCACCCTCCCCTCCCCTTGAACACTTTCCCTGCAGTGGTTTAGAGGAGAGATGCTGTGGGCACGGAGGGCCCCCCCACAGAATGCCTTTAGACGGTGTACATTTTAAGGAGCTGGCAGGCATGCACCTCCATGAAAAGGGGGTTTAAGAGTGTCAAGGTAGCAGCCAGATGTGTGTGAGAGACACCCTTGTGTAAGGGCAGAAGTGTTAGTGGCCATTTGGCAACCTGTAGTAATCTGGCTCGGGGGGGGAAGAGCTCTCCCATCAAGAGGGACCCCCCCTCCTCCCGCTGGCCTGATGGTGCAGAGAGTGTCCGTGGAGGGAAGGAGCTGAGAGAGAAGACCTGGACGTGGGCTTTCCCATCCAGACAGCACCCAGGACGTGGGCCTGGCTTGTGCCGGAAGACCCCTCGGCCACCCGTGGCAGGACAGGCACCACGAGAGTTTAGCGGGGTCAACGGATCCCAAGATAAGCGAGGAGGGAAGGAGAGAAGCCTGCTGCCTCCATGGGTCAGCGCTCTGCATCGGTGGCCCCACTCACATGGAAAACAAGGGGAGCAGGGTGAGATTGGGGGGGGGGAAATGTCAGTTCTCACACGCAGGGAAGACCACCTGGACACCAGCATCCCACCCCCCCTGCCAACAGTTCTGCTTTGGCCCACCTGGGATTGTATGGAGAGTTTGTGACCGTTTTTCTCTTGTTGTTTTCTTAAATAAATTTGTTTAATAGGGAACACTGCCCTGTGCTGCTTCATTTCGGGGGGGGTGTGTGCAAGGGAACAAAAGGACTCAAGGAGGTGCTGGTTTTGGAGGCCTCGGGAGCCAGATTATCTTTTCCACCCGATCTCGGCCAGGAAAAGCGCAAACAAGCCGCCTTATCAGCCGCATTTTAAGACACACAGTCTCTTTTCACGAACGAGTACACACACACACACAGAGCTGTGCTGGTGGCGTCTTCGGGGGATTTTGTGACATCCTTTGAGACGGTCCAGATCTGTTATACTGACCCAGGCCTTATCCTGGTACCTCTTCAAAGGCTGATGTGCCTGCAGGTTTCCAGAATCATCCTGGGAGGAGGTCAGCTGGCTGGTCCATTTTACTGGACTGATTCAAGAGTGGCCGAGACGGAAAGTATGCAGAGTTACAGCTTTCATAAGACACTTTGTCAGGCGGCAGCGCAGAGAGGGAAAACGAGGAGGGTCTGAAACCTGCCTCCGAGTCCTGTGCCAGTCTTGGCCCAGTCCACCCGGCTTTCTCCTCTGGACCAAGTCGTCTGTGGCTGCCGTTCCTGGTTTGGGGTTTGAAAACAAGAGCAGGGGGTGAAAGGGTTCCCCTCTCTGGGGTCTTTCCTCCCAGTGCGTCAGTGGCCGGCCTGAGACCTGCTCAGATCAGCCTCGGCTCGGCTGCCGTTTGCAAAGAAGCAACCCTGTCCGCGAGAGAGAGAGAGAGTGTGTGTGTGTGTGTGTGTGTGTGTTTGTCTTCTGGCATGTTTGCAAGATCCCTGGGCTCAGTTTCGCCTGTGTAAAGACCATGCTAGGATAAACCTTCCTATAAACCTTCTCTTGTTCTGCTTCAGCCTTTGAGCCTGAAAATGAAGGGTTTCTTTTTTTTTTCTGTGCCTGGGTTTTGCCAGCCGGCCACGTTCAGAAAGTAATTTAGTATGTCAGAGAAGGGATGCTGGCCCCTCGGGCACATTTTAGTTTCCAGAGCGGGTGGGGGGAGAGGGAGGGAGGTCCTCTGCCTCCAGTACCTGTTTTGTGCACATGGTGCAGCCGAGTTCCAGGGTGACCGCCTTGCTATGGTGCGTAATTGTTACCCAGAATCACGATAATCATGGTCTGTCGCATTAATTCTGACTCATGGCGACCCTTTTCAGGGGTTTTCTAAGTAGAGAATACTTAGAAGGAGTTGATCCTTCCCTTCTTATAGGGTTGCCCTACCGTGCAGTATGCCCAAGGTCACCCAGGCTGGTTCTACTCACAAGCAGGCCCAGTGGGGGAATCGAACTCCAGCTCCGCAGCCAGAGACCTCAACCTATCCAGACAGCAATCGGAAAGGAGATTTGACCATCAGAAGGGACCCCGGGGGGCCATCTAGTCTGACCCTCTTCAGCATCTCTGAGAGGCATTATGGCCCCTTGTCGCAGCCGCCTCCCTGCCTCAACCATCCACGACCGTTACCTACCCAGTCCCACCCTAAGAATGCCAAGGCGTTGTAATATTTAAAAGGAAAAAAAATCCTTTATTGCTTTTTTTTAATATTATTTGTTTGGTTTGGTTTCCGGTATAAAAACAAAAGGGAGAAAAACACCCCAGGTACAAAACGCTACGAAAGGCACCGTTGTCAACGCTTCCCCTTCCAGGTATGGCAGTTCATTATTGCTTTGGTGGGTGTTGGGGGTGGTTTTTTTTTAGGGAGGGTGTGTGTGGAATGGATCGCTGTGTCCCGGCAGAAGGGGCAGCTGGCTCAGTTGAAGGCCCAAGCGCCACGCTGGGAGGGGTGGGGTGGGGTGGGGGGGCCGAAGAGGAAGGAGGGCGTGCAAGCCAGAGAGGGTTTCACATTTTAATTCGATTTCTCTTGGGAACGGCAAGGCTCCGTTGCTCCGGTCTCTGGCACAGGTTCAAAAGGAGGGGGGGCTGTTTGTGCCCTTAACCCAAGCCCCCCCCTCCCCAAAGAAGTGCAGCAGGCGGGAGGCAAGGGGAGGTGGCAGCTTCTTGGGCAGGTGGGAGGCAAGCAAAAGGTGCTCCAGCCCGAAGGACATTGAGGAGGGGGGGGAGACAAAGAGGTACTTGTGGTTTACAGAGCAAATCCCCCCCCCCAGTTAAAGCTTTCGTTTCCCCATAGCTGACAAACTGGGAGTGATTTGTCTTTGTCAAACTGGATTGCAGGTGGGGTGGGGGCCTGCAGAAGGGACATGTCACAGAAAGGGGGGGCCCCCCACACCATACATAGATATATAGATATATATCTCCCACCCACACACCCCAAAAGAAGATCTTTGGCTTCAAGAAGAGTCTTAAGAGCAAAGGGCAAGACAGTGCTTTCAATTCGCCCTGTGGGGAAAAGGCACCAGAGTTTTAAGGCAAGGGCTGAGAGCTGCACCCCCCCCACCCCACCCCCATCACAGCTCTATAGAGGCTTCGTGGAGGGGGGAGTGAAGAGCCCACTCTCCACACACACGCACAGACACACGGGGACACACACACACACACACACCTCTTCACATTGCAAGGAAGGCTCCCCTGCTTAAATGCTGTTTCTGTTTCAGAGGAAGGCCTGGAGGTCAACAGAGGGGGGGGGGAGCCTCTGGAGGGGGGGCCACAGGCCAAGAGGCCGTCATCCCGTCCAAAACTGGGTGCCCGAACTGGACTTCCCCACCGTACCCCTGGGGAGGATCCAAGCGCAACAGCCCCCTTCCTCGAAAACCAGCGTGCAGCCTCCAACGACGTGGGAGGGAATGAGGAGGAGGAGGAGGAGGATAACCTGGCCAGCCCTTGGAAGGCTTCGTCCTCGGAGGAAAGGCCTTCGGGAGGTGGCCCAGGTCACAGAGGACGGAAGGAAGGGCTGGTGGGACCCGAGAGACTTCTCCTCTCTCCGGGCCCCCACATGCCACCCTCGGCCACCCTCGGCCACCCTGCCTGCCTGCCTTCTGTCCTTCCTTCCTCCCTCCCTCTTGAATTTCCAAGCAGAGGCCCGTAGAGGAAGAGGCCTCTGGCTCAGAAAGGTTATGCCCGCCTCCTCCAAGGTGCTGAACTACAACTCCCATTGCTATAGCTGGCTGCCGGTCAATGGGCGTTGTAGTCACGATGCCTCTGGAGACGGCCCCTGTTGGCGGCTGGGCTGGGCCAGAATAAGCTGGGTGAAGCTTCCACCTCCACCACCACCCCCCGCCTTTCCTCCCTGGTTCAGGGCTGTTGCTTTCCCTGCCAGGGGCAGGGGGTCCCCACAGGAGGAATGGAAAGGGGGCTCAGGATTGGGGGGGCCCTCCTAGAAGAAGGTCAAGGCGGCTTCTGACCCCTGGCAAGAGACTCTGCCCTGTCCGTGAATCACCCCAGCCCAAGAGCCACAGGTAGGGTGGTGGCCTGTTCCTGCCTGCCCCCCAATGCCAACCCAGAGGATTTTCAGGGAAGGAAGAGGGAGGGGCGAAGGACCCTAGCCCTCGCCCCGGTTGCCCCTTTGGGTTTGCAGCTGAAAAGGGGGGCTGGGCCATTTACCCAAGGCTCAGCCCCCCCCCAGTCCGAGCAGATCCCTGCAAGCATGTTGAACTGGGGGGACATTGCTAATGTGGGTGGGTGGGAGAGGCAGGGAGAGCTGAGCATGACATGTGGACCCAAAGCAGATGGGGGGGGGGAGAGAAAAATCCCTGGCTCCCATCCCGCCAACAAGTGTTTCTAGGCCAGCTGCCCCTCCTCTGTCCCCCCCAAAACTGGCAGCATCCTTCCCCCCCCGCCCCAACTCCGCTAGGGTGACGGAGCACTTTTCCCTGTGGGGCTAGCCTTCTAAGTGCAGGGAGCAGCGTCCCTTTGGCTCTAGAGTGACGCTGGTTTCTTGACTCAAGGGTCAGTGTGTGTGTGTGTCTTTGTGTCTGTGTGTGTGTGTGATGAAGAGGGGAAGGAAGGAATGAGGCAGTTTCCCTCTTTTAGGTGCTCAGAAGGGGGCAGGGTTGGGGAGCAGCTGCAAAGGGTGGCCAAGGACAGAGGAGGAGAAAGAGGAGGTGGCCATGGCCCTCTGGCACCGAGCCTGGGCGATATTATTACTATTATTATTAATAATATTATTAGGTCGATATCAAAGTTCTCCCATAGGATCCACTCCGAACCAACAAAGGGTGCAAGCTTTTGAGTTCTCCAGAACACCTCCTCAGACTGCATGGAAACCAACTTTTCTCTACTTTTTTAGCGTGTGGGGGGATGTGCTTTTTGGCTAGAGATCTTTGACTGAGCTTCCCACCCACCCCTCCACGCACGCACGCACGCACACACACAAACACACACAAGCTAGGAGAGGAAAGCTGGGCCACCTCAGAGGCAACCCTCTTGGCTGGCTTGGTTTTGCGCCCTCCGGGAAACCCCCCCACCCCCACCCGTCTCCTTTTTTCCGTTTTGCTTCTTTGGAACTCCTTCTTTGGGCAAAAAGCAATCGGATGGCCGGCGGGCCCGGCTGGCTTTGGGGGGAGTATGGGATTTGTAGTCC